CATTCTCTGTGGGTCCTTCTTGCCCCAGTTAATGCAACATGGCCTCCTGGCTGCCCCCAGTCACAATTCCCCACCCTTGGTCCCCCAGTCCCATCTGCCTCAAAGTAACTCTGGGGGAAAGACCTTCGCTAGGACCAGGAGAGTCCTGCCCCAAATCCTGCCCTGCTGCAGCCCCTCTGAACGCCCCAAGCTCAGCCCAGTTGGGGGCTGTGTACCCCTCTAGGGAGCCTAGGATGTAATGGAAAAGAACCCACTTTCCCCCATGAGCCCCCAGCACATTCAGGACCAGATCCTGTTCCCAGGTGCCCCCGGCCAAGAGGGAGGAGAAATTGGCCCAGAGCACACAGCCTGTATTACTGCTGTTGCCCACAATCAAACCCGATTCTCCCCCCCGCCCCCCGTGCACATGCCCCACGCTGCTGTTTCCAACTGGGCCAGACCCCAACGAATGGGGACAGAATGCCCCCTGACCAGGGCCGGCTTTAGGCCAATTCCACCAATTCCCCCGAATCGGGCCCCGCGCCTAAGAGGGCCCCGCACCCAGTGGCAGGGCCGCCCAGAGTGGGGAGCAAGTGGCAGAGAATCCCTTCCCTGGCTAGAGGCGCCTTTTTAATTTTTACTCACCCTGCGGTGCTCCAGGACTTTGGCGGCACTTTGGTGGCAGGTCCTTCAGTGCCGCCAAAGACCCGGAGCGAGTGAAGGAACCGCCAACAAAGTCTAGGAGCGCCGCCCGGTGAGTACAAGCCCCACGTGGGTTTTTTTTACGGGTTTTTTTTTTTAGTCATCCCTGTGGGGGCCCTGTCAAAACTGTTCGAATCGGGCCCCACACTTCCTAAAGCCGGCCCTGCCCCTGACTACCCCAGCTCCTGAGCAGCAACAGCTCCTGCCCTGGCCCCCAATGCTGGCTGCATATCTGAGTCTCTGGCTTGCAGTGCTAATCCTTCCCAAGCCTGGAGGCTGCTGCCGTGACCAAGGCTGGGTTGGCCAGGGCAAGATGGTCGATCTGGGTTTTATGGCGCAGCGTCTCTGCATTCAGCCTTTCCTGGTGCTGTCACATCAGGCCACGGGCAGCAGGACCACTTAGCTACCCACGCAGTCTGGGTGGGAGGAGGGAGCCAGCATCCCCACAATCCTCCTGGCTGCCCTGGCCCCTGAGGCATTGGGTGGCGACTCCAGTAATTGCCTGTGCTAGTTTACTCTGTGACAAGGTGTGGCAGGGCAGGGGCTGGTTGTGCATCCCTGCAATTCCACCTTAAAGCTGAGGAAGCCAGGCCCCGCCAAAGGCCTCACCTGCTTAAGGTGGAACTGGCTGACCTGCTCTGCCTGAAAGCCGGCCTCTTTGGTGATGTCAGTGGCTAGGCAGAGGGGTGTAACCGTGTCTCAGAGTGGCAGAGTCCCATCCCAGGAAGCCAGCACTTGTGCGAGGATAGGGGTGGTGTGGGCCGGGGGCACCCAGTGCCGTCTCCCCAGAGCAGCTCAGACTGACTCCCCAGCCAGGGCCGAGGCAGGATCTGGCAGCCGTCCCCACCCTGCACTCCTGCTGCAGACCCTCAGCTCCCTGGCGTCTCAGCTTGGCCTTGGGCTCAGACGGACAGAGGAACTGGAACTGGTGTTAGCAACAGTGGGACCTTTCCCTGGCAGAGCCAGGGCCCTGGGACAGACGGAGCCACACTCCCCGCCTGGCCGGGACAGGAGCCATGCAGGAGAATAACTTCTTCTTTTCGGCTTTGCAGCCGGAGGCCGGCGTGAGCTCCCTGGCACTGCCCTCGGACCAGCAGCTGGGCAGGAAAAGCAAGGAAGCGCCCGACGCGGAGCTGCTGAAGAGCGCCCGGGTGCAGGAGCAGGTCCGCATGAGGATGCTGCAGAAGAGCGGCTCCATCCCCAGGACAAACGGACCTGGGCTCGACTACGTCGAGGACAAAGGTAAGGGGGGGGGCGCACTGGCAGCGTGACAGGCTTCACAGACAAGGACGCAGTGCCCTCCAAAGCTAGCTATGCTAAGGGGCCGGACTGCTGGCTTTGGGGGCAGGGCTCCAGCCCCTCTCATCTGTCACCTCTGCTGGGGATGGGATTATACAGGGGGTGGGGACTGGGAGGCAAGCTTTGCTCAGCTCTGTGACTGCAGGCGAGTCACTTTTGCTATCCTTTGCCTCTGTTTCCTCATCTGTACAATAGGGATAATGATCGTTCCCTGTCCTTGGGGGTGGGTGGGGGGTGTTGGAGGTTCAACTGGCCAACGTGTTTGACTCGTGCTGAGCTCCTGCGTGGGAAGGCGCTGCTCTCCTTGCTGTGTTAATGGGAGCTCTGCCTCTGAGACAGGTGACCTGGCCTTCCCAGGCTGGCGGGTGTTGTTTGTGCCATACATTTGCTCTCTCTCTACGGGTCTGTGCAGCAGGTTTAATGGGGGAGAATCGCAGCCCACACTGCGTGGAGGGAGCTCGAACTTGGGGGAATCTCCCTGGGGAAATGGGGGGGGGGCAGAACCCATCGGGGCTCCAGCCAGGGCCCTAGAGGCCAAGGAATGGGTCCATGTGGGGCAGACTGGGCAGGAAGGGGGTGAACCGTGCCCCACTGTCTGACGGGGCCAGCTCCCCCTGTGGGTATCACCAGCACAAGAGAAAGTAACAAAGCAAGGGGCTCCCACCTGTTGTTGGCTCCTTCCCTGAATAATCCAGCCCGGGCTTTCCAGCACTCCCTGTTTATTGTATTGCTAGGAGTTCCAGTGTCTCTGTTTTGCAACAGCCCTCTCCTGGTTGCACGCTAGGGCTGGCCTTCCACGCCTGACAGCCCAACACACCCAGAGCCCAGCCCCTCCCCATTTGCCTTTCTCTCTTTTTCTGGGGCGGGGTGAGGCCTGAGAATGAGGCAAGGGACGGGAGTGTGTTTATCTTTCCCCAGGTCTGCTAGGGCGCCTGGGCCTCAACGCTCTGGGGGAGAACTTGCCAGCGGCACTTGTGAGCTAGGCCTGGGGAAACTCCCAGCATTCGCTTTTCAGGGGTGGGGATTTGTTTTTTGCAAACGTATAAAATTTTATATTTTTCCCCATGGGGGAAGTTTCTGCCCCCCCTCCCGTCCGTACATGGAAGACACAGCCCCGGCTCCTCCAGCCGGGCAGTGGGTCTCCACTCCAGAACCCCCCTAGCTGCCTATGAGCCTCTCAAATCATTTGGAGACAAGGCCTCGCGTGCAAGCTGCCGAGCCCACGTGCTGCTCAGAATGCCCCCTCCCCTCCGCCCCCCCCCCGGGTTCTGTAGCATACAAGCCAGGTGCCCCCTGGACATGTTTGTACCGCTTGCTTTTACTTGCTAGGATGTCTGGATTTGGGGCCCAGACTGTAAGCTGGGGGTGGGGAGAGGATGCCCCCCCACAGGTGCAATGGAGCTATGCCAGTAGCCACAATCCAGCAGATGTCAGCAGGGATCGGGACTGTGGTGGGTTTCAAATACTGGCTTGGGGGAGACCTGTTTGTTTACTTGCTCTGGCATTGCACGGCTGCCTCTGAGCTGGCGGAGCCCCCGCTCACTCCATGCATCTAGTTTATCACTGCCCCATGGAACGTTGCCGAGGTGCTGCTCCCACACCCCCAGCGAAGGGTCTCGTGTACTAGCCGATCTCTGACCCCGGTGCACGATCCCTAACTCCCCCCAGTCACAGTCCCTACAGCACCCGGCAGACTGGACGTGGGATGACAGACCCAAGAGGTTTCTGTCTATTATGGATGTGTGACGGTGAAGCATTTAGTAGCTATTTCATTTAATGTCACCGTGTTTAGAGAGTGTGTGTTTGAGGGGCTGAAGGGAGCTGACCTCCTGTCCCTCAAGACCCTTGCGCCTTTCTCCTGGGGGGGAGGATGGCTTGTTACAGCCCAGGACTGTAAGTGGGGAGGCCTGGGACGGACCCCAGCAGTCGTTCACACTAGTGCAAGTTGGGTGTAAAAAGCTACCCCCTCAGAATCAGAGAGTGTCACGCTCACTGCCCACTGGTGCAGGCCAGTGGTGGCTCAGGTCCATCGGTTCTCATCCAGACTCTGCCATGGATTTCCTGCCTGACCTAGGGAAGTTCCTTAGCCTCGCTGTGCATCAGTTCCGCACCTGTCCAATGCCAATTGCCTCCTGGGGCGGTGGTGTTTATTATGTGTGTGTGGTAGCTCCCAGGACCCCACGTCATGGATCAGGGCCCCATTGTAGGTGTTGCACAAACCCTCTATCAGGCTGACTTGATTAATGCCTGTGACGTGCTCTGAGGCTGCTGGGTGGGGAAGGCAGTGGAGAAAGGCAAAGGGTGTATCTCCCCGAACTGCCAGGATATGAGCACCAGCAGCCGAGCAGTTCCCACGCACACCTGGAGCTGCCTTTGTGGCTTCTCCTTCCTTTGATCTCTTTCCGTCCCAATCTAATCCTGAGCGCTGCACCCTCACCCTGCCCTGGAATTTTGTCCTAGCCCAAGAGCTGTTTTCCTGCAGCCTGACAGGCATTCTCCGAGGCTGCCTGTCTCCGCTCACTAAAAGAGACTGTTGCCCCTAATCTCGCTACTGTGACTAGCACCACACGGCGGGAACCCCCTAGGGACTTGAGCTCCCTGACTCCAGGCTGAGACACAAAGGCCTTATTCTTAAACTCTTCCCCTGTTCTCACTCCCAAGGAGACAGGCCAGGAGATGAGTGTGATTCCTGCGTGCCAGTGCTGGGGCTTAGGTGAAAGGCGTGTTTTCAGTGCCACGCCACCGCCTTCCTGCAGCCAGACCCCGGGAATGCTCCCCCCAGCTCCTTCCTGGCACTGGGGCCAGCACCACAGCCTGCCTGCCTGCCCCTCAAGGGGACTGCCCAACAGAACCATTAGGCTGCCTCTTCTCTGCCTTTGTTGACACAGAGTCTGCAGCTGGGGTGAAACAGATTGAGGGGTGGGGTGGGGCTGATGGACCAAAGCAGTTACTGAGCATGTAGAAGGGGAAGGTTGGGAACAGGTACAGAAAAAGCCACAGGTTGTTATTTTCTGTTTGTTTAATGTGGGGAAGGGAGCTAGAACAAAGGAAGGTACAAGCTGAGGAGAGGCACAGAAAAGGCAGGCAGAGCAAAGGAGGTTGCGGAGCCCCTCCCCCCCGGGAGCAGGCAGAAGAGCTGTGCCCCCAGCGAGGGCTGGCAGCTGGTGATCAGAAGAAATCAGAGCTGGTGGCCGGGCTGCATTCAGCTAAGATAGGAAGTGTTGCGCGTGAGGAGGAAATCGTTGGCTTGGATGGGATCCAGGGCAGGTTTAATCTGTAATTAAAGAGGGGTCAGGGTCAAGCAATCTTTTTACATTCCTGACTGATGCAGCACGCAGAGGTGCCGGGGCTATGAACTGCCAGGCCTGGAGGTGCCGGGGCTGAGGCACAAATTAAGCACAGAGCCGGGGCCATTGCTATGGGGGTTGAAGGGAGGCATGGAAATGCACCTCTCCTTCCTCTGCCCCTCTTCCGAGGTGACAGCTTGCTACCTGCCTGCCCCTGCTGTAGCGGGAGCTCCCAGCCATGGAAACCCCCCAGAGCGGCTGTTTTGCAGACCCAATGCAGCGCACAGCCCTCTTGATTCTCCCTACCCTGAAAGCCAAGTGTCATGTGTCCCAGCAGGGCAGACGGTGCCGCGACCTGCAGCCAGTGAAGTTACTGGGCCTCACCCCCGAGATACCGACCTGTCTGATCAATGCTATCCACCTGTCTGGGCCCAGCCCCGGCCTCCATCCTGCCATGGAATCCAGTCCCTGAGGCTGGGCTCTGGCATGGAGCTGGGCATGCTACAGGCTCTCGTGGGAGACAGGCATTCCCGCCACGCCCCACCCTTCCCATCACCACCCAGGACTGAGGGGGTGCTGGAGCTGGGATAGAGTGTGGGGAGCAGAGGGAAGGCCCCTGTGCACCCACCTCTTCTCCCCGGGTGTATTGTGTTCACTGAACTTTGTCATACACTCAGGAGTTAACCTGCACTGCTGGCCGGGCGTGGGGGCGTGGCTGGGGCAGGCAGGTAAATGACAGGGGGCTGGGTCTGCCCAGAGAAGCAGCCACCTAGACAGGGAGGGAGCTGGGGAAGCTAAGAGGGGCAGGCAGGATTCCAGACAGCCAAGAGCAGTGAGTCTGAGTCACGTGTAGTGCCGTCTGTCCACCCCACATGGCAGGAGTTGGAGTGAGAGGGAAGCACTAGACTGCAACTCCGTGCCACTTGGTAGCAATGCCTCCTGTTCCAGCCCTGGGACCCACCCGACTCTGCCATGTACCCCAGTCCTGACCTACAGCCCCTCTGCCATCCCAGCCCTGGGACCCACCCAACTCTACATGTACGCCAGTCCTGACGTACAGCCCATCTGCTATCCCAGCCCTGGGACCCACCCGACTCTGCCATGTACCCCAGTCCTGACCTACAGCCCCTCTGCCATCCTAGCCCTGGGACCCACCCGACTGCCATGCACCCCAGTCCTGACCTACAGCCCCGCTGCTATCCCAGTCCTGCAACCTACCTGACACTGCCATGCACCCCTGTCCTGACCTACAGCCCCCCTCCTATTTCAGTGCTGCCCCACCCCCCACTCCAAGCGCTGCCCATGCATCTCAACGCTAACCCTCTGCTGTTACCATTCTGGGCCCTCTCCACTCTTCTCTGTTCCAAGGGGTGGCCCTTGAGCTGTGTTCAGAGGGTGGCATGTTCTCCCTGTAGTGCAGGAATCTCCTTGCGTGGTACAGATGCAGAGCCTGAGCCACACTCAAGCTTGCCAGGCGGGAGAGGTGAAGGCACCAGTCGTGTTTAATCCCTAACAGTGGAGGGAAATGACGCTGGGAAACAACGCAGGGCAAACGTGGCCAGGGGTGCCTGTTGCCCTGGCTAGTGGGTGGCTGCCCTGAGAACTCTGGACTCCCTGACATGTGGTGCCTCTCAGTCATGCATGTGCTGTGACTGGGGGTACGCGCTGGGGGAGCTGGGGGGGGTGTTCTCATTCCCCACAGGAAGTGGTGGGAGTCTGCCAGGTTAGTAGGATGATTTCTGTATTCTGAGTGTATCCCAGCAGCATGCACAGGGCTATGTCAGGAGCAGGGCCCCGGGTGTTGGACACATGTGTCGATGTGGTCGTCCCATTTCAAAAAAGATATATTGGGATTGGAAAAGGTATAGAAAAGAGCAACAAAAATGATTAGTGGTATGGAAGAGGTTCCATGTGAGGAGAGATTAAGAAAAATGGGTCTTTTCAGCTTGGAAAAGAGAGGATTGAGGTGGGATATGCTAGAGGTCTATAAAATCATGACTGGTGTGGAGAAAGTAAATAAGGAATTATTTACTCCTCATAACAAGGACTAGGAGTCACCCAATGAAATGAATAGGCAGCAGGTTTCAAACAAACAAAAGGAAGTATTTTCTTCACACAACGGACAGTCAACCTGTGGAACTCCTTGCCAGAGGATGTTGTAAAGGCCAAGGCTATAACAGGGTTAAAAAAAGAACTAGATAAGTTCATGGAGGATAGATCTATCAATGGCTATTAGCCAGGATGGGCAGGGATGGTGTCCCTAGCCTCTGTTTGCCAGAAGCTGAGAATGGGCGACAGGGGATGGATCACTTGATGATTACCTGTTCTGTTCATTACCTCTGGGGCACCTGGCATTGACTATTGTCTGAAGACAGGATACTGGGCTAGATGGACCTTTGTTCTGACCCAGTATGGCCATTCTTATGTTCTTATGTTTCCAGTGCCAGGATTTCCATTCCCAGCTTCTAGGGGCAGCCGGGGCTCCATCTCCTGGCCTCAGGGTCCCCGTTTACCCCCACAGAGCTGGGTCCCTGGCATTATCAGTTACTCTGTGTACTCACTGATAAGGGAAAATGTCCCGATGGTGCCCCACCCCCTCAGGCGCTAACTCATTCAGGCCTTTTCCCTCCTGCCCCAAACTCCAGCGACCAGCAAGTCAGCCGAGCAGGGCTAGTGTGTGCCTCTCGGAGAGCCTGCCCTTGGAGTTATGCCACAGCTGAGCCGTGGCTAGGGCCCAGCATGGGGCTGTGATCTTCCTCACCAGCTGCCACTTGGCAGGATCTTCTTAGCACTAGCATGGCCCTCTGGCAGCTTATGGGTCAGGAACTCCTGAGGGGTCACCTGACCAGCAGAGTCAAGGAGAAGACAGACAGTCGTGAGCCTGCTCCCATCCCTTGTCTCTGCTCTGCCTCTGAGATGGAGGTTGGGCTGTAGGTGCTGGAAGCCCCCAGACCTTTGTGCCAATTTACCGCAGGACCTGGTGCAAGGACCCTTGCTGTAGCCGTTCCCAGCCCAAAGCTAGGCCCCCTCTAACGGGCCAGTTCAGCCCTGTCTGCTGTGATGCCTCCAGGAGCTGCAGGATCACGCTGGGCAGATGTCTCTGGCATTGTCTCTCCTGGGATTGTGTCTGTCAGTGCAGTGTGGCTGCTCTGGCTTTGTCTCCTTGTAGACACAGTGATCTCTCGCATCCCACCCATGCTGGCTGGCCAGCAGGCCTGGGGATGGGGTTTGAGAGAGGCCAGCTACTGGGCTTCCTCCCTGATCACGCACTGGGGAGCTGGGGCAAGGGACAGGAACATTGGTAAGTGGAACATCTCCTCACGGTCCTGCCCGCACGAGAGGAAGAGGCTGTGGAAAGCTCTGAGCTCAAATGGAGCCGTCCTACCCCACAGACAATAAGCCCCCCACACAAGGGTTCCCAGGAGAGGCTCACCTGAGGTGGAGTGAGCTGTTCGGCTGCCCCAAATATCAGTGCATGTGACAGGGCTTCCATGGCTTGTTTGATCCTGCCAGGGATTGCAAGAGATTGGAGCGTGTATGTTTCCATTTCCTCCTGCCAGATTTCCCCCAGGTTTTACTTCATCCCAACAGACATCCAACCTGTGCAGGCTGATTCCCGGGAATTGAGCGTGCAGGAGGAATGTGTTTATACAACGCAGCCTCTCAGGGCCTCTCTGTTCCCAGGCTTCCTGCTGCTGAAGGGGCAAACCCAGCCATGAGAATAGTGGCAGGGCCCAGGCAGGGTATTGTGGGGCAGGTGGAGGAGCCCACTGAGAAGGTCCTGGGCTCCAGCCCTTTGGAGACATGGACACGGTTGGGTTAGTCACTAAGTTGGCCAGGCTGTAACTGCTCCCGTCAGCCCCTGGCTTTCCCAAGCAGTAGAACATTCGCCTGGGGGAACGGAGCCAGGTGCTGTGCAGGCTACCCCAGCGCTCTGCCAACGTACCCCAGTCCTGGCCTGCAGCCTCCCCACTATCCCAGCCCTCTCCTGAGAGGTGCCGATTGTGCCAACTGCTGGGATGGTTTGTCCAGTCACAAAGCGAGGATTTTGCAGTGGGGAGAGGCAGGACCGACATGAAAATCAGTATGCAAATGACGGTAATCTTACGAATGGCGGTAAATTGCACAATGCCTTTGGGAACCCAGTCCCACTTTCATTTTACCAATCCACTTGTGTTTCAGGCCAGCTGTCAATAAGTAAGCTCCAAAACTTGTTCCTTAAATGATCTCCAGTCACTGTGCTGCATGGATAGTGTCTCGGGTAAGCAAGAGTTGAGAAGGACTAGCAATTATCCTGCTCAACCTGGAGTATGGTGAAAGAATGCTGGGCCCGCCTCTCAGCGCTAGCACTGGGCATGGTTTCACTTCCCTGTCTGCATCTCCTAGGTTGCTAGAAAACACTCAAGAGCTGACCTCTGTCGTTAAGTCAATAGAGAGACAAACTGCGGGAGGTAATAGCTCTTATTGGACTAACCTCTGTTGGGGAGAGAGGCAAGCTGCGGAGCTACACCCAGCTCTGAGTGTCCAATAAAAGATATTACCTCGCCCGCCTTGTCTCTCTAATATCCTGGGAGGGCTACAACTGCACAGTAAACATTGTCAATGGGGCAAGTAGCCCCATGTTCCCCGGAGGCGGGAGGGGAGAGAGTGTAGCTGCTAAACCGGACAGCAATCAAAGGAGAGGGAGCTTTGCTGTACGTTCCACATCTCCATCAGTTCTCTCCATGGAGTGAATGAGACAGTTTCGTCAACCCAACTCAGCTCCCAGTTAGGCCCCTAACTGAAGTGGCTGGATTTTGAAAGGTGCTAAGCGTGCAGAAATTCAGCTCTTGGCTACCCTGGACGACTTTCTGGCCCGCTGGTGAGCTAGTGGGGTGATGACGTCACAAATGAAAGCTGATGGCGTTCTGGCTGCTTGGTGTTCGGATAGCTGGCTTTCCTTAGGCAGTGCAGTATAGCCGTGTGGGTCCCAGGATATGAGAGAGACAAGGTGGGGGAGGTGATATCTTTGATTGGACCAACTGCAGTTGGCGAGAAAGACCAGCTTTCAAGCCACACAGAGCTCTTTGTTTAGGCTGACTCTTCCCACATCTCGCTTCCTAAGCTCAAGCCTCTTGGTAGCGAGAGTGAGGCTCCTCCCACCTACGGCATCAGCCTGAGCTAACCCAGCGTTGGCTAAACTGGGATGGGTTTCTTGGCAACCACCAGGGCTAGAACTGAGCAAGGGCCTGGTTCTCCTCTCACTGACACCAGAGTAAACCAGGGAGATCTCCAGTGACATCAATGGCGTCAGTGAGAAGAGAAACTGCCGCCTTCAGTTAACTTTAAATGGGAGCTTAGATGCTGCAGACACCCCCAGCCGCTCTTAGCTCTGCTGTTGATTTTGTAACAGGGGCAAATATTGGCCATGGGTCGAACTGAAGCTGGTTGGACACATTCCACTTGTAACCCCAGCTGGGTCTCAGCACAGGTCTCCCATGGTGAACTAATTGCTCACCAGTAGGGTGACCAGATGTCCCAATTTTATAGGGACAGCCCCGATATTTGGAGCTTTTTCTTATATAGGCACCTATTACCCCCCACCCCCATCCCGATTTTTCACACTTGCTATCTGGTCTCCCTACTCACTAGCCTCTCCACCGCACTGCTCTCCACTCACCCGCTAGGCTCCTCCCTTCAGATCTCCAGGACTCGTGCCAGCTGTTGCCTTCTAAAGGCCCTTTGTACCTAAGGCCGCTGTTAAATGGGCTCGCTCTTAACAAGAGCAAGTCTGGCTGGGAAAGGGGGTGGGGAAACCAGGTGGGAAGTGGAGAGTTCAGTTTCCCGGTGAGCCGTTCAGCGTAAACAAGGCCTGCTTGGCGAACCTTTCCCTCCCTGCACAGTCTGGCCAGAGATCCTCAGCTGGAGAGTCCCACTGACCTCAATGGAGCCCAGCCAGCCACAGCTCCTTCAGGGTGTCTAGCACCGTTGACCCCAGTGGAGCTACCTCGACCTACCCCAGCTTGGGACCTGGTTGGAAACTAGAAAAAACAAGAAACCAAAACCCACCATTCCCCCCCCCCCCGCACTCCCCTCATTTTTCAGTTGTTCCAAAGGTTTTGGGGAATGTGAGCGGCCATTTCCAACATTGTTGTTTCGCTTGTATTCTTTTAGCATTTTGTTTGTCTTTGTTAAGAAATGAATGGGGGGGGAGGGTAAGGCACATGACAGGGTTTTTCTTTTGAAAAATTATTTCCAATTTAAAAAAAAATCATTTTCAAAAATAGAAACTGAGAAATGAAAATGGTCGGTAAAATTTCCAATAAAAATATTGGGTAAAAAATGCAATAAAGGGTTTGTGGAAAATGTTGTGAAAAATTTCACAAAAAACATGGATGGGAGAGAAAAAAGGGCCATTTTTAGATTAACAAAATGCGCCCCTTGCGAAATTCCAGCCCTCCCTACCTTGAGTCACACGTGAGAGCATTCAGCGGCTTTATCCTGGGCCCAGCAGAGACCAGTCTGCGTCATCAGCACCGTCTCCTCTCTGCTCTAGAGAGGCCTGTGTTTGGAATAGCTGGGAGTAGAATGGGGCAACATGAGAATGCACTGGCAGAACTGTGTGCAGGTCTGGGACTGGGATAGCAGAGGGGCTGTAGAACAGACCTGGGGTGTGTTGGCAGATCTGCGTGGGGCGCCAGGGCTGGAATAGCAGAGGGGTGCAGCTCAAGACTGGGGAGCATTATCAGAGCTGGGTGGGTCCAAGTGCTGGGGTACGAGGGGGGCTGCATGTCAGGACAGGGGTGCATGGGCAAAGCTAGGGTTACCATACGTCCTCTTTTTCCCGGACATGTCCGGCTTTTCGGCACTCAAACCCCTGTCCGGGGGGAATTGCCAAAAAGCCGAACATGTCCGGGAAAATGGCGGCTCTGCTCCTCCCCGACTCTTCGGCTCTGTTTAAGAGCCAGGCTGCCCGAGTGCTATGGGCTTCAGGCAGCCCCCTTGCCTCCGGACCCCAGCCGCCGGCTGGAAACTTCCCCT